CACTTAATTTACCGGTAATTAAATTCTCATATTTTCTCAATAAATTCCATTTTTTCCATTTTTGATATATTTTTAAAAACTATTTTGCATGTAAAACAAAAAAGTTAGGAGGTGTTATTTTTTAGCCTCTTTTGTTTTTCTTGGAGGAGAAAACGGTAGCACAATGACAAAAATAGTCATCTATAGACAAATAAGGCTACGGTACAATATTTGATTCGTGATGTACAACAAAATAATGCAGATCGAAACGTATAACAAAGAGCTTGAAGAAATGCAGAGGCTATCAAAGGAAGAGTACTTGGCTTCATTACGGCGACTGAGCAGTGGATTTTCTAGGGGTGTTTCCAAATATCGTGGCGTCGCAAGGTATTTATATATTAAAAATATAAATTAAATTATTTCAATAATTAAACCAATTTAATTAGAAAAAGTAAAAAAAGACAAAGCAACATGCAATTTTAATTTTTACTTATATTAAGCGTACATTTGTAGAAGTCAACAAATTTTGTGGATTTTCATGCTTTTCGCGCACAACTGGTTAAGTGGGACCCACTGGGACCTAGTTTTCAGTAGGACCCATTTGGATCCACTGTCTATATGTGGGCTGTGGGCTGTGAGTGTGTGACCGTGTGAGTCATGCTTAAGTGATTATGGATTCGAAAAATTGACCATTCTACGAGCTGCATTTTGCAAAAATAACCCCTTAATTTTGGATAGAACGCAAATTTGACCCGCTATTATTGGATTTTGATTTTGACAGGCACCACCATAATGGTCGATGGGAAGCAAGAATTGGACGAGTCTTTGGAAATAAGTACCTCTATTTGGGAACTTACAGTATGTCTCTAACTTATCTTTCTTTCATTTTGCACCTTAAAAAGTGGTTAATGTGATTTTCAAGTACCAATTTCTTTGTTGGTTCGAGGTTTTTTTAGATTCTTCATTCTCAGGCTCGAATCAAATTCATATCTTAACCTTCTCGCCATACCCTTTGTTGTGTCCGATTCTTTTTTCGGTGAAGGAGATTCAGTACTTTGGAAAGATTTATCACTTTTGCATGTATAGCCTAAATCTAATAGATTCAATAGGATTAAAGCTGACATGGCACATGATAATTGGTGTTTTATATTATTTACTGCGATCAAAGTTAAAAGGCTGAGGTGGTCCAATATTAAATATTTGATGCAGATCTTTGTGGACCGTACAAAAAGTTAGGCTTTCTGTTCAACCTTATAAAAACTGAAAATATTCCTCTTTTTTCTTTAGTGGGTTTAAGCCTTACCCATTTTGTTCTCTGGTTTAGGTTTGACTAAACTAGAAGAATAAACAAAAAATTAGTACTACTAATTTCTATATTTACGCAATCAATAGCTACACATCCTCTTTAGACCATATGATCCTAGTTACTCACGAATAGGCAAAGCTTAACCTGGGATTAGGCCGGTTCCGACCATTGAGTGGGTCCCACATAATGCATTATAAAATTTTCTAGCAAGAAATTTTAAGTGGGTTGTTAAATTAAACATCACTTCCTATTTTAAGTAAATGGAATATGGCCTTTAATCATGTATGGCCCACCTTAAAAAAAATTGCTCCATTTGGCAAGTCAATTGAGCCAATTTTGATTTTTATGAAATTACATGAATCATGTAGATGCTATGTACTTAGTTAAGTGGGAGATATTAATTACTTCAGTAGTAAGTGATTTGAATAGTTATTAAGATAACTGTTTATTATTAATCTCAGTGTGTAGATCTTGGCTCGTGACGTTGTCAGTCCCTTGATTCATGCTAATGGGATGAATAATTTATGTTTAATCTCAGTAGACAATTATGCCTTTGGATTGATGCATACTGTCTCATCATCCTTATGTCCAACTATACACTCCAAAAAACTAACCCTGATCAGTGGTGAGAAGGCTGCAAAGACCACACCCTCCTTTATCATTTGTGACATTGCTCTTTCACTTTAAGTTATGCATAAGGTACAATCTCTAAAAGAAAAAAACCAACTTACCATTTTATTTCTTTTCTCCACCCATTCCCCCAAACCCCACCTCCAAAAAAGGTAGTAGAAAAACATTTTTTTTTCTTCCTTTGGTATAATCATTCGGTCTGCGATGACCCAACTAATTTGAATTCGCGTCGCATAGGGGCCATTTAAAGGGGAAGCGCTTCTTATTTTTCCAACCACAAGGGTCGTCGTTTGGTACAAGGTTCGGATATCCCAAGATATCCCATGGGATTAGCTATCCACATTCTACATGGGATAACTAATCCCACCATTTTTTAGTGTAAAAGTTGTCCCGACTCTCGGGATTAGCTAATACCCCAAATCAAACATGGGATAAAGTTGATCCCAAATTCTATCCCGGGATTATTATTCTTATCCCATGTACCAAATGACCCCTTAGTGATGAAGAAAAACATGTCATGTACATCTATGGGTTGAACAAGTAGTACTGTATCACTCAAAAGGAGTTGAAGCTAGACTCTTGTGTTGTTTTCGGAACAAGTAGTAATATAATCTCATGTTACTTGCAACTGAGGCATAATTCGTTGCTTTTAAGGAACGAGTAAGCCCAATCTAGAGCGTTTATATCGTCACATACACTTTAGTCTTGTAAAGATTCATCAATTTCCTTGTTACTAATGTTTGCACTTGCTGATGGCATCGGTGATCAGACAATGCAAAATACAGCATTGTGTAACTGTCAATTGATGGCATTGGCTATCAGACAATGCAAAATACAGCATTGTGTATCTGCTAATTGCTTTGAATGGATGATGTCTTTGTTTAGATTTTATTTGAAGGGTTCGGTTGCATTCTATGATCTTATAAACTAGTTCAAACTAGGTCTCATATAGTTGAGTGCAGTAACATTATCCGGAATGAATTTAGTGGACAAACAGATTCTTGAAATCACTGGTTATTTACCTCTTGTCCTTGTTGAAGGCACTCAAGAGGAAGCAGCTGCAGCATATGATTTGGCAGCAATTGAGTTCAGAGGGCCTAATGCAGTCACCAACTTCGACATCAGCACATATGCAGACAAGTTGAAGAAATTCCGCGAACCAGAGCTGGTACCAAAGGAGGAAAAAACAGAATCCTCTGCTGAAGTGCAATCAAATGAGGTATCTGAACAACAACAGCCAGTTCAACAAGAAGAAGAAAACCAACAGAAGTTTCAACAAGAAGAGCAAGAAGAATTAGCAGTGGAACCAATAGTAGTACCAAAGTTAGAGTTTACACCTTCACTTGATTCTGATGAAGTGACTCAACCAAAAGTTCTGAAGTTGGAGTTTGCTCCTTCAGTTGAGTCTGCTGATAAAATAAAGGCAAAGGATCACGAGGAGGAAGATGACAACCCGTGGAACATGTACTTGGATGATACATTTGATTCCTTCCCAGTTTCCGACTTCTCACTTGACAAACCATCCGACTTGATGGATTTTTTCAACAATACTGGCTTTGACAACAACATTGACTTCAATTTCTATGAGCAATCAAGTGAGAATGAGTTCAACCTGGATGTATTCTCCGACAGCATGATCATCGACTTGATTGAAGCTAAGGAGGAAGAACTGATGAATCCATCGAATTCGCCTACTTCATCATCATCTGTGTCAAGAACCACATCCATTTCTAGCGACACGAAAGATGTTGGAGGCTTGGACTAGAGGTTCAGTTTTGTGTCGAAATGAAACTATAAGTTTGATAGGAAACCTTCCTCCTAGCTAGTTTTAGATGCCCTTTTCCTTTCCTAGATATAGGGACACAAGCAGAAGGCCTTGTGACTGTGTTTTAATTAGTTTCTTCTCCAAAAACGAACTACTGCAGTTTAGCTATAATGTTGCTTAACAAGTTTTTGAAGGGTGAATCTATGTTCCCTTTTTTTGGTTTCATTTGCCTGTTGATATTCCCCAACCCCTATTGTACCTATGCAATTTTACCCTTTATCTTGTTTTCATGGCTCGAAATCGTGACTTCCTGATCACATGACAACAACTTTATTGGTTACGCTAGAGCTCCCCTTCAATAAGCATGTAAAATGAGTTGAGCAAGGTAAGAACTCGCATCAAATTAGAGCTAGAAGGAAATTTTATTGCAATCTTCTAATTTTACAAATGTTCTTAGTTAATATGACACCCTATACAGCATATGTAAATGTTTGTAGGATCAATGAGAAAAATGTTGTAAAATATGATATACTAGCAAACAAATTTTCGGAATTAGGTGAGTCAAAGGTCAGGAGCTCAATCAAAACTATCTACACTTTCCTCTTAGCATGCGTGCAATCTGGTGAAATTGTTAGACAAAGAGGACTCCATCTTTCACGCGGAAAACGACCCACAGAAGTTGTCTCACTTGGAATAGAGCTCAGGACCAGGATGACCGAAGATCAAAACCTAAATGTGCCGGGGGTTAATCATCGAAGCCTGACAATAACAATTAAGGAATTTGAGCGCTGAAACTCAAAAAATAAAACAATAAGGCGATTATCAATTAAAATCTGACGGAAAAGGTAATAAAGCAGTACAAAAAAAGAGACTAAATATGATTTTAAAAACTGAATAAATGGCGCAGTCAAAAAGAAACATAAAATAAAAGGTAAAACGAGATTATTAAATAGTACTAAGAGCAAATGGAAAAGATATTTAATGTAACAATAAAGTGTTTGGAGTAAGGGATTTAATAGTACAATTCATAAATTTTAAGTAATTTTACAAATATATTGTATTCTAAAATAGCTATACATTTTCTTTTCAAAATGAATGACATCGCATGTAGATGTTGGCAAAATGATGACATGTTATTTTTCGATGCCGAAAACTTAACTTTTTGATAGTTTTAATTTTTTTGGACGACTAACAAAATTAGTTAAATAATTTTATTATTATAAAAAATAAAATTGTAACTTTAATGTTACCGAGAGTAAAGTTAAGCAATTAAATTAAAAAATTTATGTACAAGACTTGAGGACTGAGGTCTTCAAAGCTTTACCGGAGTTGCATTACATTTGACAAAATTAAACTGAAAACTACCAAAAAGAGAAAAAGGAATTAGGACAGTGGAAAAGAGAGCAGAGAAATTTCTTCATTTCAACAAACCCAGCACACCCGCGCGCGCGACCAGAGAGAGAGAGAGAGAGAACTAGTAATATCAGTAACATTATAGCCTAGCCAAGAATCTTTGAACTGTTGAAGCACTACCATCAAATTTTGCTGAAAGTTACATACAATTAGGCCCGAATTTCAGGTTTATATATTTTGGGTAAGATTTAGCCCTTAATTTGTATTCACTTCTGGTTCTTTAACCTAATTGCATAGTTTTTACTCCCGTTGGCATCATCACCCCATATGTCCTGGTTTTGTTTATTACAATTTTGGTAACGATTATTGTTCTTGAGGTACGATACTGTTATGAACTGGGTGCTATTGCCTTTAGAGATTTAAAATCCTTTGTAGGAGATGTTAGAATATATATATATATATATATAATATTATTTGTTCTTGTCTTTGTCCTGAACTTTATTGATATTTATTCCCATTTGAAGTTTAGAGGAAGGTGTATTCTCATGTGTGCAAAATTGGAGTGTTTGCTTATTCTTTTATGTTACTTAATATAAAATATTGAGTCACTGGTTACCTTGTTCCATTTCATGTGATGTTAAGGCCATCTATTGTTCATTTTCTTTTTACAAGAGATGAAAAGAAGACGTTTTGACCACGACGAAATAGATTGATCTGTCAGTCCCCCAGTAAGATGAATATTGAAGTGATTGATGTAGAAGGGCAGAAGAGGCAAAAAACTGGGGAAATAGCTGCTGAACTAATTCACAATTCCAAACAGGGTTTGCCGGAGAATTTTACCGAAAGAGATGCTATCGTTGAAGTTGATGATGGGGAAGAGAAGCCATATGTGGGAATGGAGTTTCAAACAGAAGAAGCAGCAAAGAACTTTTTTGATGCATATGCTAGGCGTGTGGGCTTTACTATACATGTTGGACAGTACAGCCGAGATAAGCCTGACGGCCCTATCATTAGTTGGGACTACTCTTGTTCAAGAGAAGTTGTTAGAAGGAAGAATATAGAGAGTTGCAACGCTATGCTTCGCATAGAGAGGAAAAATTCAGATAGTTGGGTTGTGACTAAATTTGTTGAGGATCACAATCATTCAATAGTGAATCCCAGCAAAGTGCATTACCTTCAACCTCGTAAACATTTTTCTGGTGCTTCTAAGACTGTTGGAGAGACACCGGGGGCTCCAACTGTTATTATGGTTCCGGTGGACGGGAATCATGTATCTGTCAGTTCCNCATGTATCTGTCAGTTCTAATGAAGGTGTTAAGGATGCTTCTCCTGTGGAGTCAAATCGTGTGACCAAGAACTTTAGCCCTGTCATACCAATAATGTTTATCCAGCCTTGCAGCCGAAAGAGAACACTTGGAAGAGATGCCCATAATCTTCTTGATTATTTCAAAAAAATGCAAGCGGAAAATCCTGGTTTCTACTATGCTATTCAACTTGATGATGAAAATCGCATGACAAATGCCNACTTGATGATGAAAATCGCATGACGAATGCTTTTTGGGCTGATGCAAGATCGAGGATAGCTTATAGTCACTTTGGTGATGCTGTTATTTTTGATACAATGTATAGACCAAATCAATTCCAGGTTCCATTTGCTCCATTCACAGGCGTAAATCATCATGGACAAATTGTTTTGTTTGGCTGTGCATTACTCTTAGATGAGTCTGAGTCTTCCTTTACTTGGCTTTTCCGAACCTGGCTATCTGCAATGAATAATCGCCCTCCAGTTTCTATTACAACCGACCAGGATAGAGCTATTAAGGCAGCAGTCAACCAAGTATTACCATGTACTCGTCATTGCATCTGTAAGTGGCATATCTTACGAGAAGGGCAGGAAAGATTGGCTCACATATATTTGGCTCATCCTTCTTTTTATGGGGAGCTGTATAGCTGCATTAACTATTCTGAGACTATTGAGGATTTCGAATTATCTTGGGCCTCTATACTTGATAGGTATGATCTCAGGAAAAATGAGTGGCTTCAAGCTGTATATAATGCTCGCAACCAGTGGGCTCCAGTATATTTTCGAGATACTTTCTTTGCTGCACTTTCCTCGAACCAGAGTGTAACCTCCTTTTTTGATGGATATGTGAATCAACAGACAACTCTACCAATGTTCTTTAAGCAGTATGAAAGAGCTTTAGAAAGTTCACTTGAAAGGGAAATTCAATCAGATTTTGATACAAATTGCACCACACCAATGCTAAAGACCCCATCTCCAATGGAACAACAAGCATCTAACCTCTACACCAAAAAAGTTTTTGCAAAGTTTCAAGAGGAATTAGTTGAAACTTTTGCCTACACTGCCAATAAGATTGATGGTGATGGGAGACTGAGCAAATTTAGGGTCGCAAAATATGAACAGGATGACAAAGCATACATTGTAATGTTGAATCTTGCCGAGATGAAAGCAAGTTGCAGCTGCCATATGTTTGAGTATTCGGGCATCTTGTGTAGGCACATCTTAACCGTCTTCACAGTGACTAATGTTCTTACAGTTCCGTCCCATTATATAGTTAGGAGGTGGACAAGGAATGCAAAAGTTGGACAAGGATCAGAAGAAGACATTGTTAAAACTGGAATTAATTCTCTCTCTTCACGTTTCAACCACTTATGTCTGGAAGCTTTAAGATATGCGGAAGAAGGGGCAGTTTCAGTGGAGACCTATGATGCAGCGATTAGTGCTTTAAGAGACGGGTTGAGTAAGATTTCTATTGTTGCGAAAAATATTGTAAGACCCCCTAGCTCACAGGGAAGTGGAAGTACTCAGGATGAGAGCATAAAAAGAACTCTGGCTACTTCTAATACCGCACCATCTTTATGGCCTTGGCAAGATACTTTGCCTCATCATTTTAACCTTAATGATGTTGATTTACCTGCTGGTGACTTAAATCAGCCCACTATGACACCTGTGGCTATAAATCGTGATGGTGGCCTTGTTGATAATGTGGTATGAGAAGAAAGAAATACCTCTTTTGTAACTTGTATATACATTTCTCAAATTTTTATCTGTCTTTGACTATTTTGTACAAGAAAAGAATGAACTACTCAACTGCCACGGAGATGAATTATTGCCTTTTCTCTCCTTCAAGTATTTTGTTTTCGTGTAGGTTGTTTATACTTGTTTCAAGTCTATGACATGGGTGATTGAAAACACAACTCCAGCAATTAAAGTGGCTGTCATCAATTTGAAGGTGTGTACCCTGTTTTAGAAAAGATTTTACTCTGAGTCATACTCTGGCTGAATACGGATAACAGATATACAGTTGATTTGATTTTTCTTCCTCCCTTGAGAAATAAATTTGATCCTATTAATGTCTAAAATCAGTGGAAATAACAATTTCCTTTATGAAATTCTATTTGGACATATTTGATACGACTTTCAGTTGCAAGATTATGGCAAGAGCCCAGCAGGGGAAACAGAAGTTCAGTTTAGAGTTACAAGAGTCACCCTGGAGCCAATGCTGAAATCCATGGGTTACATAAGTCAACAGCTTTCACTGCCGGCAAATAGAGTAGCTGTTATCAATTTAAAGGTTTGCATCATGAATTTCAAGATTTTATTCCTATCTCAGAATCTCATTGAAAGAGCTGGGAGCTGTTGAACTGTCACATATTCTTAATTATATTACTTCAAGTTTGTCAGAATTGGAGCAAAGTAAACTCATTCAGTATGCACATTCTGATTAGTTACATTGTGAAGCATTCTAAAGACTATCTTAATATTAATATTGGATATTCAAATGAGCTACATTCTGATAAGTTACATTGGGAGGCATTCTAAAGACTATCTTAATATTAATATTGGATATTCAAATGAGCTTTATTAAGCTTTAACGTGCTTTTCATCTAGTGAATGAGCTTTATTAGATATCACTATGGCGACAGTTCTGAAAAGTTTCTTTAGTAGATGGATGATGTAATTTTTCTATCAAAGAGAAAGAGAGTTTCTTTCTTTTGATGTGGGCGCGACTTATGTCCGTGGCCCTATGCCCGACTATGCCGAGGTGTGATACCAAGAGAGCCATCGCAACCACTGATCTACCCATTGGCCTAGAAGAATGCGCTCCTCTATCTCTCGTTCACCATCGAACACCAGCTCGTTTGGAAAGAGCCCTATCTCCTTAGGCTTTAATTCCCTTCGAAAAAGAGAATCGATCATCTAATGTTTTAACGATTTTACCACCCGGCACCTGCCTACTCGACATACAAGTGAATATGCCTAAATTATGTGAAACAAATAGTGGCCTCTGTCCCTTCCCTCTTCCTCCCTTTCATCTTCTGGATGCAGTATCCCTCTGGTGTATAATTATCTCTTAATTGTTCGGGTGGAAATGCACCGATAGTTTGGCCATGTATGCTAATGAAATGCTCTGCTGGGCTTTGCTATTTAGTAGTCCTCCATATGACTCTCCAAAGTAACATTCATGACAACTGAAAAACTAATTATGAAGAGATTATAGATCCTTGTGAAATATTAGTTAGAGAAGGTGTTCCTCTTGATTATCTACCAATCTTGAATCGCATTTCTCCTTGTAGATTGAGAGGATTAATGTCAGTTGAATGCAGTGATGTATTGTCCTTTAATATATGAACTGATAGTTTTTATCATTTCCCATCACAGCTTCAAGATACTAAGACACCTTCCGGAGAAACTGAAGTGAAATTTCAAGTTTCAACGGATACTCTAGGGTCAATGCTGAGATCGATGGCTTACATTCGTGAACAACTTTGAGTAGGTGAATACTACTTCTCTTGTTATTCTTGTCGATATATAAGAACTAGAAGCATCAATTGATTTATTTGAGATTCTGAAAGAGAAATTGAATAAATTGCAAGTGTCACCTGGATAGTATTTTATATTTTGTGTTGATATATAATTTGCATACATCAACCTTTAATGATTCAATACCTCTGGTTTAAATTCCTAACAAATTGAATAAATTGCAAGTGTCACCTGGATAGTATTTTATATTTTGTGTTGATATATAATTTGCATACATCAACCTTTAATGATTCAATACCTCTGGTTTAAATTCCTAACAAATTGAATAAATTGCAAGTGTCACCTGGATAGTATTTTATATTTTGTGTTGATATATAAGTTGCATACATCAACCTTTAATGATTCAATACCTCTGGTTTAAATTCCTAAGCTTACTCAGTTCCTGATGTTTCTCTATGGAGGTATTCTCTGCAGCAGAATTGGTAAAGGTACATGGATTCATGTGAGTCAAACAAGAATAAGTAATGCACCTTCGATCTGAATCGCTCTGATGAAGCAGTAGCATTCTTTAGAACGATATGCACAAGGTCTTTTTGAAGTTAATAATTGGTATAATAATTTGATGAAAAGAACCTGGCATTAAAGCTGTATACAAGAGGAGAGAAATTTATACAACATGACTCTTTGCAAAGAGCATTCAATCATCAATATGGACTGGAAACTTGTACGTGCTCCAAAAGTGTCAAGAAAACAAAGAGTTCATAAAAAGGGCAGACCGGCGCACTAAGCTCCCGCTACGCGCGGGGTCCGGAGAAGGGCCGGACCACGGTCTGTTGTACACAGTCTTGCCCTGCATTTCTGCAAGAGGCTTTTCCACAGCTCGAACCCGTGACCTCTTGGTCACATGGCAGCAACGTTACCAGTTACACCAAGAAAAAAAAAAGTTCATACATTATCCTAAAACATAAGAGTTCACGCTGATCCAAACGCGGTTTCTTTATCCTTTGATAGAATCAGGTCTATGGTAAGTCAGAGAAGAAAACCATTCAAAAGACCAAATTGGAGATATTTGAAGATTGCTCGGCTTCTTTTCCTACATCTATGTTGTTAGTTGCTCATCATCATATAAGTAGTTGTTGTTGATGATGATGGATGACAATAACGAGTTTTTTGCCATATATTATGTAGGAACTCCTTGTAAATTGCTTCTGGAGGCAGAGACAGCACATATTCACAGCTGTAGTTATCTCTAGTAACCACTCTGTTTGGTCTATATTCTGTTAGCACTTAGTCTAAGTATAACTATGTAGTTGACCCAACTTACTTTGTAGCTGTATGCTGGAAAATTAGTTGTGCATGTGTATGGAGGACCCTACAAAGAATGTAGTCATTTTAGCTTTAGGTTAGTAGTAGTTGTTTCATTGATGACACCTATCAATATTTCTTTTTTTGGTGTAGGTATAGGTGTAATCTGTTATTTGTATTCGGGTGTAATCTGCCTGTGCTAATATTACTCCCATGTATGAGGGATCTCTTGTTTTCTTCATTTTTCTTTTTCTTTTTCTTTTCTTTTCGTGTTTTTTCTTCCTTTTTTTTTTTTATCTTTAATGTTTTGTCGAAGAGAAGAGGCCGAAATACGTAAATAAGCAGGTTTGAGTCTGGTAAATGAAAGTTTTGGCACCAATTTTATGCAATTTATTATTCTGTTGTCATTATATTTAATATGGTAGTGTCCATGGTTGAAAGATTGAGTTGATTTGTCTCGAATTCCCTCTTTTATGTGTATGTACCTTTAGTCCCTCTATTTTGAGTTGCAGAACGTAAAATCCCCAACTAGTTATCATGACCATTTATTGAATTTCAATTGCTGGCCTTTTGTTCTGAGGTTTAGTGAAATTTTTAGTTATCTGTAGGAATTTTTCACGTTTTTGATTAGATATGCAAGGAATGTATAATATACAATTTGTTAATTTGAAACTATACGATAGTATTAGATGATTCTACGTAGATGTGGCAGAAATCTTTGCCTAACTGTTACTCTGAACCTATTTCTTCACTCGGTTTTTGGTTACTGATTAGAAGAATATTCCAGTTAAAGTTACTTGACAAGTATAAAATTTATTAACCAAGATAGTAGCATTATTGAAGTCTGGCATTGAAATTTTAGAATCTAAATGATGTCGTTATTTGTCACGGCGTATGGTTTACGTTATGTTAATTTCAAAATAATTAATCTGGAAGCCTCCACCAGCCCGTGGAGGCTCCATTTTGGCAATGAACTTGTTTCATTTGAAAAGCAAACAAAGAATAATCTCTTTTTTATTTCTTCACATCACAAACATATTGCAATATTTCGCCTCCCAACCCCCGGAAAAAAGGCAACTATGAACTGCGTTTAACCCGTGGGTTTTTCGAAAAAATTGAAGTGATGAGGTACTCTAGCCAGGCCCAGCCCAGTACAATCTCAATTGGGTTGGCCCAGGACCCATGTGCAGTTGATAACGGGTAAAATTCACAAATAGCCACTTTTAGTATATTTGTTATTGAAAAATAGCCATTTTCATGGAGTTTCAAATTTCACAGGTAAAATTCCATGACAAAATCTTGGAGTTTCACACGTGGAATTTAAAACTCCAAGAAAATGGCTATTTTGCTCTTATAGCGCTGAAAAAGTGGCCAATGGGTGCAATTTCTACGTCAAATAGCACAATTTGGCCTTTTATGAGGCCTTGTTTGCAGGAGTTGAACCTTTAAAAATTTTAGACCCGCAGTCTAAATATGAGATTAAACTTAAGTTTAAAATTAGGTGATCATTTTCGAACTTCATACTATTAAAATAATTTTAATAAAGTGGCTAATTCTTAAATACAAATCTACACCACTTGCTACTATTTGGGTAAAATGGTTTTATCCTTTAAGGGACGCTATTTGTGTAACTCAGCCGTTTCAGTGCTTCACGCTCTTTTGAACCGTTATCGGCCCGTCTAAGTTTATTAGCCAACGGCTAGTTTTCTTGCTCTCATCAACGGCTACTATATTTAGCACTTTTATCATTTCCCTTTCATTTTCTCTCACATCACTCACTCTGTCCTTTCTTTTCCGTCAAAATTCCTCGTTGACACTTCGGCTCAGAAGGGCAGTTTCTCCAATTTCCATCCGAAATTTCAGTTCCTTCTTCTGCCAACTTCACCGCTGAAACCACCTCTATACGCTGCATTCAGAATTGTAAGTCCCTTTTTTTTTATTTTTTTTTAATACTTTTTCTGCAAAACTAGTTTCAACATTATCCTAAATCCCTTTTTGAGTGATTTATAATGGTTAGAATAGGAATTGTTTTATTGAGTTCGATTTGGTCATAATTGTTTGATTTTGCATTTTTCTCAGCTATTGATTTGATTGTTGCTCCACATTTTGGATGGCGTGCTAATTTACCTTTTGCGTATTGGTAAACAATTTTCTTAATATTCTGTCATAAGAGAAAACAGTAGAACTGTATTGCTTCTGCCTTTTAGTATGAGTTTTCAGCAGTACAGACGAATTCAAAGCTCTTTTAATTGCCTAAATAAAGGGTTTCATTTTCTAATTATCTCAAATTTAATCATTTGAAATCGATTGATTTATAGTGCCCCTTAAATTAATCTGCCTAATTGTGCACCCAAAGGCTAGTTTATTGAAGCTTGACAGTTAATATCTGGAGGTATTTATTGAGTTTGACATCTCCCAATATTTTTTGTGTCAAAGGTGGATTATCTGGTTTCATTTTTCTATTTTGGGCATCCCGTACTTCATGTAATTTTTCTGTTGTTCATTTTAGTGTTTTGGTCATTAACATCCTAATCTCTCATTAAGATGTATTTGGTATTTTCACTTTAACTTGATTTTACTGAGCAGCAGCACCTATATGCATGGTCACTTGATTTTTCTGATTACTGATTACAATTTTATCCAATAGGGTCAAATTGCCTCGGTTAAACAGCCGTAATGTCCTCTGTTCAGAGAAGGCAGCAACCTGTAGATGTTTCCAAGGAAAATGGAGGTGCCAGAGTACAGCAACAACAAGATGTTATGCAGTCAAGAGGTGGTAAGATGTCCTCGCGGCTCGACACGCCTACAGTTACAGGTGCTGCTAGGATTGTCCCATCTAGATATAGGCAAACTCCTCAGTCCTTACTCCGTGCTAGTTCAACGAGTAATCCTGGATTTGCATCTGTTAGTGCTGCTGCTAAACTGTTACAGGAGGCTATTGCTACTCCGCTAAATCCTTGTGCAGTGTCCAATGGTGATGGAGCAATTGTGCATAAAAAGCTCTCCAAAGTTTCAACAAGCAATGATGCAGATGGTTGTGCTTCTGCTGCTGCTACTGAGAGTAATTCATGCCCGAATTCTCCGGTCTGCACTCAAAGAAAGCAGCAACAAATTAAATTTCCTAAGGAACATGGCAGCACTAGAGTACAACAGCAGCAACTTGCAGATGTGTTGCAATCAAAAAGTAGCAAGACCTCCTCAAGACTTGACACACCGACAGTGACTGGTGCTGCTAGGATTGTCCCATCTAGATATAGGACTCCTCAGTCTTTACACCGTCACGGTCCAACCAATAATCCTGGAGGAACATTGGTCAGTGCCGCTGATAAACTATTGCGGGAGGCTACTGCTACACCTGTGAATCCTTGTACTTTGTCTCAGGATGATGGAGCATTAATCTCCAGAAAGCTTTCAAAAGTTTCTACTAGCCATGATGTAGATTCTGGTGCTACTGCTACTACTAAGGGAAGTTCATGCCCAAGTTCTCCAGTTTGCACCCAGATTACTAAGGGAAGTTCAGGTCCGAGTTCTCCAGTTTGCACCCAGAGCAATAAGACGCGGACATTATCAGCGGTGAGGTCTTCTATGCCTGAGATTGATAGATGTCTTACTGAGAGAAATAGAGACAATAACAACAAAACATTTGATGATTGCAGTTCTTATAAATCTGCATCTTCTACTTGCGCTCGTTCATTGCATCTGCCAGCAGCCAACAATGAAAATTCCTCCTCTTGGCTATCTCTCAAACCAACTGACATGTTTGCTTCCATCCCTTCTAGATCATCTTTCAAAATGGGGAGCCTTTGCTTGCCTCCTCATCCAAGTTCCAATAAATTGGGAGCAGATGCAAGGAAAGTAAGGAAGGGTTTCAGTGATCAGGAAGATGTTCATTCCTTCAAGTTGCTCTATAATCGTTACCTTCAATGGCGATTTGTGAATGCCAAAGCAGAGACCTCCATGAATTCCCAAAGACAGGATAGTGAGAGAAGGCTTTATTCCTTTGCACACCAGTTAACTGATTTACGTGATGCTGTTCACCAGAAACGCGCTGAACTTGAGTATTTGCAAAGGATCAAAACCTTATCCACTATTCTTGAAGCACAATCACCATGTCTTGAGGAATGGGCTAACCTGGAAGAGGATTACTCAACTTCTCTGTCAGGTACAACTAGTGCCTTGCGCAATTGCTCTCTAAGACTTCCTATCAGCGCGGAAGTTCAGGTTAATACAAGAGAGTTAGGGGATGCTCTTAATTCATCTACAAAGGTGATGGAAATGATCGGTTTGCAGATTCAGAACTTTATGCAAAAGGCAGAAGAAACAGAAAGTTTAATATCTGAACTAGCTAGAGTGAGTGGTGTAGAGAGAGCTCTTGTTGAGGAATGTGGGGATTTATTGTTGAAGACATATATCTCACAGGTGACAGAATGGAGTTTAAGGGGACAGATGATTCAAATGCATAGAGACAACCTTTATCAAGTTCAGAAAGAATGAAGATTCAAATAATTTTTACTGTTCTTATTAATGATAATAATATCTTTTGAAGCATTTCTTGTCAGCTTGTTACCAATCACTAATCACATAATTCTTGTGTTGTATTGTTTTTAGGGATTTCATTTAGGTCATTATGGATGAAAGCCCAGATTCTTGAGAGAACTACATAAATAAGTCACAAGTAGACATGACTTACCAATAATTAGTCATTAAGGCATTATTACAAAAAATAGTCAGAAAAAGTTACCAATGATATACAACATTCAAAAACCTAAGCAAAAAATGGTTTCTTTTTCTATTATATGTATGGTTAAAATTTATAAAGATACATGGATGATGCAATATATAAATTTTGAGTAAGATTGAAGGTGATTGGACTGGTTTCGAATCAAATTTTGTTACCAATATATAATAATCAAAAAATCTAGGCAAAAAAAAGTTCTTTTCTCAATAGGGGTATGGTTGGAGTTTGTTGAAAACACATAGATATTTCAAGAAGATTAGATATGATTTGGACTTGGTTGTAGTCAAAAACTTCGTAGTTAAATCGAGTTTTAAAAATTTCTGAGTGTTTTCTAGGTAACACATAGGCGATCTAGATTTCACCAAAATCTCCCACTTTATAAAGAAAATAATCCTAGTATGATAAATCAATCGGAGATCACTTAGGCGATCATAAATAATACATGAGCAATTTCAAAGATAACACACAGACGATCTATGATTTCACCTGGATTTTTTTACTTT